AGGAAAAAAGGCAGAGTAGATAGAATAAAATATTTGATAGAAATAAATCACATTATAGCAGTTACCACAATAAATGTAAATGGACTGAATCTGCTTGGTGAAAGATAATGCAATTTGAACTAAAAAACAAAATGTAATATTTCCTGTTCAAAGAGATAAACCCAAAACTTTTATCCATTAAGTACAATTCACTAGGAAAATAAAATTGTAAACCCAGATATATTGTGGAAGATATTATCCTTCTTTTGTAAATGATGAAGGAAAATTAGTAAAGATAAAAAAATTGAAAATGTATACAACATTGCACTCAAAAGTTAAGAGAATTTATATTTTTCTCAAGCACATGCTGTTAAACATTTGCCAAATCTGACAACTTACCAGTCACAAAAGATTTAATACCAAAGAATCAATATCAGACAAATCATATTTTTTGAGGTATTCCAAAAAGAAGTTAAAATCAATAAGAAAGACTAACAACAGAAATCCCCAATCTGGTATGAAAAAAATAATTTTAAATAAGGAAAGGTCAAAAGAGAAATGACAGTGGAAGTTAGAAAATACTTAAACTTAAGGTAAGTAATACATGTTTACATTATTATATAAAAAACACTAAAGAGGTAGTTCGGTGAAACTAAAGCTAGACAAAAAAATGAATGCCTTTAAAAACTTTTAAATTAAGTTTTTAATTTATAAAAAGTTATTAATGAGCCAGGTTAGAAGTTGGAAAAATTACAGCATAAACCCAAAAATTGTGAAGAACATAAAAGCAGAAATTAATAATGTAGGAAACAAAAAACTAAGGATCAACAAAAGCTGATCCTTTAAAAAGATTAACAGAACAGGAAAATTAACAAAAGATAAGCAACGACAAATAAAATGATGAAGTACAAAAGAAAACAGGCACAAATAGGCAATTTAAAAAGTGACATAACTACATCATAGAGATTTTTAAAAAATTAAATCTATAACTTTTTCCATGAAATAAAACGGATGAGATATACAATTCATGAGAAAAAAGTTCTAACAATCAAGAATTAGAGAATGTGTTACTCATTAAAAAACTAAGACAAAAATTTCCCCATAAAGCACAGAATAAAATAGTTTTAGTGGTAAGTTATACCAAACTGTCAGTCGGTACAGTTGTTCCAAAGAGCAAAAAGAAAAGCTTTTCAACTAATTTTATGAGGCTAGTATAGCTTTCCTAACAGAAATATAGGATGTATATGGGAAAGGATATAGGCAAATTTTACTTACGATCATAGGTATAAAATATCCTAAACAAAATATTAGCAAAACAACTCCACCTACATATTTTTTAAAATGTGACTTACAAGAAAACAGCAGGAAAGCTCCATGACTGACTTTGGCAATGATTGGATATTTCCTTGCATATGGCAATCAAAAGCATAGGCAACAAAAGGAAAATGGATTAACTGTAATTAATCAAAATTATAAACTTTTGCTTATCAAAGGACACATTTCAACAGAGTAAAAAAGCAACCCATATAGTGGGGGTAAACATTTGCAAATCATCTGATAGGGGATTAACATCCAGAATATACAAGGAACTCCTAAGACTCAGTAACAAAAATAGCCCAATTCAAAATGCGTATAGGTCTTGAATAGACATTTCTCCAAAGAAGGTACATGTATGAACAATAAGCACATGAAAAGATGCTCAGCATCACTGATCATTAGGGAAATGCAAATCAGTACTACAGTGAGGTACCACTTTGCATCCACTAGGATGGCTATTACGGAACCAACAAGCCAACCCAGAAAACAGTAAGCATTAGCAAGGAAGTGCAGAAACTGGAAGCCTTATGCATCGCTAGTGAGAATGTGAAATGGTGTAGCCGCTCTAGAAACGGTATGGTGGTTCATCAAAATATTAAATGTAGAATTACCGTGTGACCCAGCAATTCCACTTCTGGGTATAAACCCAGAAGAATGAAAGCAGAGACTCCAACAGATATTTGTATCATACAGATACTCGTCATTGCAGCATTATTCCCAACAGCCAAAAGGTGGAAACAATCCAAATGTGCATTGATAGACAAATGGAGAAACAAAATATGGTATTATACACACAATGGCATATTATTCAACCTTGGAAAGGAATTCAATTTTGATACATGCTATGACATGGATGCATCTTGAAGACGTTATGTCAAGTGAAATGAGCCAGACATGAAAGGACAAATACTGTAAGATTCCATTTATATGAGGTACTTGGAATAGTCAAATTCATAGTGAGAGACTGTAAAATAGCAGTTACCAGGGGATGGGGAGAAGGGTGAATTTAGTGGGTACTGGGTTTCCATTTGGGATGATAAAAAAAGTTCTGGAGATGGATAATGGAATGATTGCACAACAGTGTGAATGTACTTATACTGTTTAACTGTACACTTACAAATAATCTGAAGAATAAATTTTGTTAACTATATTTTGCCACCAAAAAAAATTTTTTTTTGACTCTTCAGTATGCAGCCCAAAGCTAGACAAAACCAAGGGAAAGAAGTTTGGTATATGACAAAGACCTAATATCAATCAGTGGGGAGAGGCTAGATCAGTCAATGAACAGTGCTAGGACAACTGACTCTGCTCATGCAAAATAAGAGACCTACTCCTCAAAATGCCATATGGCTTAAACACCTAAGTGAGAAGCAAAACTGCACATTTTAGACAAAAGCCTTAAGGGAAAGGTGATAAACAGTCCTAATATTTAAAGCTCCTAATCATCACAAGACACTATCAACAAGGTAAAAACAAAAAATAAAGTAGAAACTGAGGGAAGATGACTTAGCCCATGTAAATAAGAACAAGGAATAGTATTTAAAATATATATATTCTAGAACCAATACTATTATTAAGAAAAAGACATTCTAGTTGAGAAGTTGGCAAAAGATGTAACAAGCAATTCATAGAAGGAATGAAAATGACCAATACTTGAATTCTCACAAGTCAGTCACTAAATGGTACAAAATCTCATAAGCAATTAAAAGGGAAACAATTTCACAATCATTTGCCTCACTAATCTTACTTTTTTAATTGAGGTACATACAAAGAATGTACAAATTTTAGTGAACTTGATGAATTTTTATGTGTATACATTCATGTAACCATCACCCTCATCGATACCAAACTAATTTTTTTCCTTCTCCTATTTCACCCACCCTTCCACCACCACTGCCTTCCCTATAGTACCTACCAGTCTGTTCTGTTCTGTGTTTATGAGCCTATTTCCATTTTTGCTCACATATAAGTGAAATCATACATATTCATCTTTCTTGGTTTGACTTATATTTCACTTAGCCTAATACCCTCCAGGTAAATCCATGTGGTAGCAAATGGCAGATTTAGTTTTTTAGGGCCGAGTAATATTCCATTTTGTGTGTATGTATGTGCACATGCACACCTTCTTTACTGGATATTTCACTATTTAGTTTGCTTCCATATCTTGGCTACTATACATAATGCTACAGTAAACATAGCAGTGCATATCTTTTAGAATTAGTGATTTTGTTTTCTTTCAGTAAATTTCCAGAAGTGGAATTGCTTGATACTCTGGTTATTTCTATTTTTAGTTTTTTGAGAAACTAAAACTTGCTTGGCTAATTTATTTTAATATCTAATACCAGATAGTGATAGTGTGTGGGGAAACTGGAACTTACAAATTGCTGTTAGGAGAGTGACACACTCCTGTCAGAACTGGTACAACCACTTAGGAGAGCAGGTACCAGCTCATTAAAACTTGTACACATGTGGACAAGGATGTAGAATATTCACTGCAGCACTATTCTGTAATAATGAAGTAGAAGCAATTTCTCAAAAGAATAAATCTGGTTTATGTAATGATATACTGTACAATGGTGAAAATAATCTACATCTACCAACATGGATAAATCTCAAAAACAATTTTAAGAGTCAGTTGCACAAATATATGTACAAAATAACATTTATGTAAAATGTTAAAATACAAAAAAAATTCTTAATAGTCTATGGATAAACACTACCGCAAGAATACAGAAAGATTAGAAGTATAAAAACTACAGAAGTACAAAAACACCAAATTGAGAATAATGATTGATTTGCAGATGAAGGTAAGGATCAAAACTAGACACTAGATCAGAGAATGTCAGCTCATAAAGTAAAAGTAAAGGCAGCCAGTGCTCCGGAGGCAGGAGCTGGCAAACTTTTTCTATAAAAGGCCAAAAAGTAAATATTTTAGGTGTTTCAGGCCAAGGAGTCAAAACCAAGGATATATCTACGTATTTTATTTATTCAAAGCTAGTGTTTTCTATTATTAAAATCAATGACAAGTGTTTTTCCCAACCACCTAAAAAACATAAATACCATTTTTAGCTTGCAGACCATACAAAAGCAGGGTGAATTTGGCCCATAGGCTGTAGTTTGCCCACAGCCAGCCTGAAGCAGCCCCACCCAATGTAAGTTTTGGTAGTGATGGAAATGTTTTATATCTGCACAATATGGTAACTGCTAGCCACATGTGGCTATTAAGCAAGCACTTGAAAGGTGGCTACTGTGATAAAAATAAAATTTTAAATCATATTTCACCATAAGATAGTCACTCTAGAATTTTTATGAATTTAAAGAATAGGTGTAAAGGGAGTGGTTGAACAAACTGGAAAAATAAAGAGATCATGATGGAAGAGTGGGACACATGAATCAATTATTTCAACAGGGAGAAAAAAATTGGGGCTGATAAAAAGGATTTGGGGCTGATAAGGAATGCAGAATGATATGGAGACTCAGTCAAGAAAATCTGAGGTCAGGATTGGAAGATCACCCAGTAAAAAACACTTGATCATGGACTTGGAGATGTCACAATGAAAAAACAGAGTGTTAAATGGAGTGTGGCAGGGGAGCTGAGTTTCATGACGACGACTGCAGAGAAACCCAAGATGCAGTGGGAGAAGGATGCGGATGGTGGAGGTGACCAGTAATGATATTTAAAGAACAGAAGAAAAAAAACAAGCAATATCTAGAGAAACTTTATTGCTCTTTAAAAATGGATAACCTTGTGCTTTAAAGTTTGAAGAGGTATACACAAGTACAGGCTTCAAACTTTCAGAACTAAGTGAATTCCCTCATTGATTGATCAAAAATACAAAACAGGCTTTGGTATTCACACATTTAACATTTGAGATTTTTGACTAAATAAGGAGGTACCCTGGAAGACCATTAGCTAATAATTGTGATTCAGGGAGGTATGACTTTGAACAAGGTACGCCTAGAGCTTGGGCTCAGAGCTAGTCACCTAGTCCCTGAGCCTAAGCAACTATCAATTCTCTAACCATGATCTCATATACACATTTTATCTGAAAAATTAAATGTAACAATGGTATAAGGGGTCCACAAACACCTTAGGGTATACCCTACTGGGAATTTCAAGGATTTATTTCATTTCAAAAGATCCTCAGTCTGTCTTCAAAAATGATTTATCCTAGTGTTCTCTATTTAAGGGAGAAATAAAGATGACAGAAGCTGTAATTAAAACACCTTAATTTGAAAAATCATTAATTTCTAAAATGGTACAAGATACATTTTGACTAAAATTAAGGGTTTTAGGCAGTATAAGAAATCCAAACTATTATAATGCTTAAGTCCAGTTATTTATACTTAAACAAAAAGTAAACCAAATACTAAAGGTTTAAGATAAAACACCACATTGAAGCAGTTCGGAAGAAATGTTCACGAACCAGAGTCCTGCCAAGAGAATAGTCTAACGTGGTCCGACCCACTTGTGCACTGTCCAACAGCAATAGAAGAGGGTGTAGGACAAATTTAAACAGCATCCAACAAACGCTTCATTGTATTTGCTTCGTATGCTTTTTTTTTAGAATTGCATCTAAAATCCTTTTTCTGCTTGAAAATAGGTGAATTCAAGAAACACAAATCTGTGAAAGGGTCCCCTCGTCTCAGTTTCCTGTAAGGGGAAAAATTGTTATAAAGTTACTACACTATAAGACAGTGTTATGTAATATGTAATATTACCACCTCAGTTTTTATCAGAATTTTATATTTCAAATGAGACTCACTCTTGAACAGAGTTCCATAACTTTCCTCGCCCCGCATGTACCATTAAGTGAATGCCCAGATACAATACTTACGAGGCAAGTGTGGGCTCCTTATAGTTCACACTGGCTGTACACCTACGCTTAGGCAGAGACACTGGGCTGTCTTTATTCTTTCTTGGAAAAAGAGAAAGTTTTCTGATTTTCGATGCAGGATACAAGGGGACATTCGTGATATCCTTCAGACTAAGATGAGGTGACAGGTGAGTTTCAGGTAATGTGCCTGCAAAAATAAACAAACAAATGACAGGAATTAAAATTGTATGCAATTATATATCCTAAATATATAAAAAATCCAGCATTACATAATACAGGTTTTTTAACCTGTTTACCATTTTTCATCCCAGGTAGCATTGAAATATTAATTATAGTAGATGTGAAGAAATGATACAACTTACTAAAACTTAACATTTTCTTTTTTTAAATTAAAGTGTCATTGATATACAACCTTATGATGGTTTTAAATACACAACACAGTTGTTCAACGTTCACCCGTATTATCAAGTCCTCATTCCCTCCAGTGCGGTCACTGTCCGTATCAACATAGCAAGACGTTGAAGAATCATTAACTGTATTCTCCATGCTGTAGTACAACCATCCCTGTGACCAACTTATACTGTGAATGCAAATTATTGTGCTCCTTAATCCCCTTCTCCCTCCCCTTTGGTAACCACTAGTGCCTTCTCAGTGTTCTATGAGTCTACTGCTATTTTGTTCCTTCTGTAAAACTTAACATTGTTAAAAAATTTTTTTAAATTAAAAATCTCCTAGGATAGCTTGGGCATAATGGATTAAACTCTGGGACTTCATTTAGTCACACCTTGTTCTTTAGAGTCATCAAGACCTCGCAGTACCAATATTTATCATCAAATGGCTTCCTATAGTCTTTCTAAAGCCACTTAAACTCATTCTGTGAAATAAATGAGAATTCTAAATCATGACCTCTGTGTAAACCAGAAGAAAGAGGCCCCTCTGGTACAGTGAGCATGTTAGAAAGTGACCCAGTGTTTTTCCTATCATCAGCATCCAAGTTATTCTACTTTGGAGCTACATCTACACTGGGAGGCATGTACCCAGTACACAGTAAGGACACTGCAAGACAATCTTTTCAAATAGCTTTGAAAAGCAAATTGTTCCCCAAGAAAAACTAAAATGACTTATATTTAGCAACCAAGTTCTCCAGGGTTATCTGAGTTTTCAATAATCTGACTTTTTCATCCCCACATAAGCATACTGTACTACACTAATTATTCCAAATCTCAGTTTGGAAAATATGGTTAAGCAACAATATCAGGTCAGTTGCTATATTCTGGAACGATGCTTCTCAAACTTTAATGTATATACAAATCCTCTGGGTAACTTGTTAAAAAGATGCAGGTTGTGATTAAAGGGCATGGGGGTATGGCCTGAAACTCAGCATTTCTAAGAAGTTTCCAGGTAATGTTGATACTAATAGTCTGGGGACCAATCTGAGCAACACTACTTCAGAGTGTATTTTTTCTTTTAAAAACTTACTATGGCAATTTTTAAGTCTACACAACCACAGAGATGGTAGTATAATGAACCCCCAGTTACCCAGTTTCAATAATTATCAACATTTTGCCAATCTTGTGATTTACTTCAATGTCATTACACATATTTTAAAGAAAAAAAGATATTTGCATGATACTGCCATCTAACTGATAGACCCTGGAAAGTCACTTAACTTTTTTTTTTAGGCTTTAGTTTCCCTATAAACAAAACAAGCACGATGACACCTACATTTCAGAGTCATTCTGAGGATCAAATGGAATAGCACAATAACATTGTGAGAATACACTAACTAAAATTCCCACATCAGAATCTTTGTGGGTAGATGCAGGCTATATCAACATTTGAAGCTGCCTACTTTTGACCTAACTAATAAAAGCAAGATTTTCTAAACCACCATTTTCAGATGTCTTACAAATGTCTTACAGAATACGAAGCCTCTCAGTTGAGGACTAAGTTTTCTGCTCTAGTGTTTGACCACCTTTATTAACTAGAAACTATTTTACATCATGATCCTGTCAAATCGAATATAAAGCCAAAGCCATTAAAATGGCAAGTAACTGATTCAAGTTTGATTTCATTTTCAAGGGGGTATTTCAGGCGAATATTATATAAAGATACTTTAATTCAACCTAACTCCGCAAAAAAGTTTTCTTCTTCACTTTTAGAAAGCTTTCTTTACTGAAAGTAAAATTGCTTTTTTCATAACAAGTAGTAATGGTTCTTAAAGAGGATTCAAATTAGCTTAAAGCAGGTCAGAGCAACACAACTGTGATTGATCCTCTCCCAGCCCCCCACCATTTACTCACACTGCAACTTTCCCCAAAGAAAAAGATGGTTAAGTCTCTAACCTCCCTGAGAAACAGATGGTAAGTAGTATATAAGCATCAGGAGTGATCATTTATCATAAATATTAAAAATGCTGGCAAACAAGTAGATCACTTACTGGCAGGAGTTTTTGTTGTCTGAGAACACTCTGTCTCTTTTTCATCCCTATATTTTGGTGCTCTTTTAGATCGAGGCCTGGTGACTGGTCTTTCATCTGATTCTCTGGTGATGTCTTGACTGTACTTGCAAGTGGGCAAATACAGATCATCAGAATCATCTCCCGAACCACTCGATTCACAGGTGCTCACTTCAGATTCATTGTTGTTGTCTTCCATTTTAGAATCATTATTCAGTTTTTGTCGGAAAGGGGTGAGATGAACACCCTCTTCCAAATTAAAATTGTAAGCATCACTGGAAGTGAAAGATTTAGCCAACTTTTTTTTGGAAACACTTAAATTTTCACTTTTGCTGCCTTTATACTTTGATACAGATTTCGACTTTCTCCTTTTGTTAGCTTTTCTTTTCTCTTTTTGCTTTCTTCCTTGTGCATATCTATGCTTACTTTTAATTTGCTCAGATTTATCCTCTGAAATGTCTTCTTTGGTTTTAGATTTTTCTGGATGAATAAGCTTTCGTGATAAGTTAATTTGATTCTTGTTCCATTGAGAAACATTTTGTTCTACATTACCAGGTATGTGCATGTTTATTAGTGGATCTACAAATCTAGTTCTTTCCAATTCAAAAGACTGCTTTGACAAATGACTGATTTCAAGATCATCTAAGTTACTGAATTGACATAAATCGTTAAAATGTTTCCTTAAATTGCGACGGAGAGATACAGTTCTAGGTAATAAGACATTATCAGTAGACTTATCTTCATCTGAATCCAGATCAAATACTAGTCTGTCTTGAGGAATAGTAGGTATTTGCTCTGAGAATTTAAAAAATAAGAGAAAAATAATTTTACTTTATGGAAATTTTAATTTCAAAAATCTTTAGAATCTAAAATTAAGTATGGAATGAATGAAAAGCCATTCTGTAGTTTCTCCACATTTACTGTAAGTAAATAAACATCTCAGGAACTTAATAATAAAACCATCTATTTGGCAATGACCAATTTAAGGCTTATATCTGACCTGTGAAAGAATCTTAAATAACCTTCAAAAGTATTCTAACTTAGGGCTTTACATGCCCCCTGTTTTAAAGGCTTAAGGAAAAATCAGTTGTCTATAAGTATCTGTGTATTCAGAGGAAAAGAACCTCCTATTCTAAAGTGGGACAAATAGACCAAGAAAGTGGGAGCTAAATTATTCTCTGAAAAGTGAGTAAGACTGGAATAATTAGAAAGTATTTCAGGTAAGAAATATAATCTCTAATTTTAGGGTAAGTGAGGATATTTGGTTCTGCTTATTCAAATGCTATTCCTTCTGCAAAGATTAGTTCAGATAGGATTGATATCTGAGAACGGAGACACATCAATTTGAAAGCAGAAAAGAGGGCAGGGCTTTGGAGATCAGCTCTTACCATCTGCATCTGGGCTACTTCCTATGAGACACTTTACTTCTTTGAGTGTATATAAAATGGGAGTGACTACCTATATTCCAAGGTTGTTGTGAGGGTTGAGTGAGATAACGTACGTATAATGCCTAACACAGAGCTTGACCCAGAGTAAGGCTCAGTAAATTGCAGCCATAGTTAATACCCAAGGTTTCTCACTATAGGTTTGGCATAATAAGTGGATTTTAAAACTTATTCTGTGTTACATAAACAGGTTTGCTTTGAGCAGACTAACAGATGAGCAGATATAAAAAGTTAAAAAACGAGAGAAATTTAACTGTTACTTGTTCTCAAAGATCCCATCTTACCCTTAAGTAATATTTTTTATTTTTCACTTGAATTACCTTCTATTTGGAAAGATTCTTGTCTTGGAGAGAGAACTTCATGAACAGGAACTTGCCTTAGAAAATACCAATGAAAAATAAAAATTTACTTAGCAATTATGTAAAAAAAACAAAATCAAGATTTTCTTAAAATTAAGATTTTTCTTTCTTTTAGTATCATTTCATAATTCCATTCTAAATCAGTACATCTGTTACAGCTGACATTCAACTCCCACTGGAAGAAGTAACGTATCGAATTGGACAGTTCCTTCTGAAAATGTGCCATGACTCATAATTTCATGTAACTGGAGAAACAGTCAATCAAGGACTTATAAAATATATTAAAGAAATAGTTTGATTACTCAAGTCTTTAGGACCTGCTTTATCTTGAGTCAAACTGGGTTTTTGGTAGGATATGCTTTTACAGTGCTTAACTACTGACTCCTCTGAAGTTAACACTGTTCATTTTTTTAAAAAAATCTTGTCCCTGTTTGGTTCTTTGAACAAGAAATTTTCTTCATGCTTTAATACTGGCTGTTACATCCTAATTATTATTTTATTATTTTCTGTAGAGAATTTTTCCCCTCTGGACATCAAAAACTAAATATAAATTTAAGTAACAGAGCTATAGTAAGTAAAAACAGTTTTAGAAATCTTACAATTACTTCAACGTTTTTGTCCATTACATAAATATTTTGTCAGATCTTAAAAGTTAAACAGTTTTAAAACTATTGATTATAATTAATATGGGAATAGAAATCTTATTAATATTTACTTCTTCAAGGGGAGTATAGACTCGAAAAGGACATGAGGGAGTGGTTCATGACAGTAGCTCTTACTTGGGGACAGTTATGTCCCCCCACCCCCGCTGGGGATATTTGGCAACATCTGGAGACATTTATGGTTCTCATAATGTGCTACTGGTATTTAGTGGAGGCCAAGGATGCTGCTAAATATCCCACAATGCTTAGGACAGTCCTCCACAACAAAGAACAACTGGCCCAAAATGTCAACAGCGCTAAGACTGAGAAACCCCAGGCTATCATTAAGGCTATGTTCTGTATCTTAAGGTTTTCGTCTCAAGGTATGTACATTAGTCAAACTCACTGAACTGCATAATTAAGATCTTTGCATTTTCTATATGTAAATATATCTCAATAACTCATAAGCAAACAAAGTATACTTGATCTAAGTGAAGGGTAGAAGGTACGTGGGTCTGATTGTATTTAAGAATGAATTGAATTAGCAGTATGACAGCTGTGTTAAATATGATGTTTTATTATATTTATTTTTTAAGTCAGACTATTTGTAGTACTGGCAAAATACCATCATTTGAATAACCGAGTCCTTCTTAGAACTTAAACATGATAAAAGAAATATGTAACTGAAGAGAACAGTTTAAAATTTTAAAGCAATTTCTTAGGCATAAAAAAAGTAATTCATATAAGCTTTAGTTTGGCTATATGTAACAGAATGTCAACATATTAAATTTTTAAAAATACATTCTCAGTTGAGAGAACATTAGACTCAAATTACAAGAGTCAATGATGTAAATTTGTTTTCAGAAATCATCACAGAATTAAATCTTTCTTGGTATTAATAATTACAATAATGAATTTGATACTAACGGTAAATCCTTCACAAATAAATCCCTGGAGTTGTGAATACTGGAGTCCATTCTGGAGGGACATACTTCCTGGTTCTGTTAATGTATGAAAACAAAGAAAATATTGGCACAAGTGAAATATTCATAACAAAGCATTCATATATTCAATAATAAATACTTAGTGACAGTCTACTATGATGCCAGACACTGTTCTAGGAACTGGGTCTATAGCAGCTAAAAAAACAGATGAAGTCCTACCCTTTTAAAGCTTATGTTTTTGTGTAGAAAGAAAATTTTAAAGAGAAAGGAAAGAGATATGTAAGTAAATTCAGAGTGATAAGTGCTATGAAGGAAATTACTTAGGGTGAAGTAACAGAGTGCTTGAGGTTGGAGGGTTCTTAGGTGGCATGACTTTTATCTGAGTCTGAAGAATGCAAAGTAGTGAGCCACTGAAAGAGCAGAAAGAAGAGAAAGCAGTGGAAAGAGCAAATACAAGTCATGATGTAGGAAAAACCTTGCTGTGTTTAGAAAAGACAAGTCGTGTGGAACATAGTCACTGAGAACAGTAAGAGATGTAATGCAGAGGCCAGCTAATGCAAGGCCTTGAGAGCCATGAGCTTGAATTTTAGTCTAAGTGTGATGGGAAGTTACTTAAATATTAAGTTAAACTGATCTAAGGTTTTAAAAGATCTCTGGCTGTTGTATGAAATGGATTGAAAGGGGCCAAGGGCAGGAGTTAAGAAGTCACCATAGAAAATCAAGCAAGACATGATATTAGCTAGGACTGCAGCCCTATGACTACAGAAGTGAAACCCAGTGGAAGGTCATGACGTACAAAGTGTGCTCAGATTGAATAGGCATGGAAGTGGGTACAATGACAGAGAGAGGAAGAAGTACACAATATGTCTGGAAAGGGGAAAATAAAGGGTTGTGCTTTGTACAAAATATGTTTGAGATACTTTATCAATATTTATGTGGATATATCAAATAGTAGTATGTATGTATGGATTTTAAGCTGTAAATCTAGAGTCACCAGCAGATAAACAGTATCTACACTTGCCTAACCTTTCCCCCACACCTACCAAAGGCCATGCCCTGCTGGCCTTGGAAATCAGATTCCCTTCTTCCCATCTCCTGTAGGACTTTTGCTTCTTTAAAGCTTTGAAGGGGTGTAAGATAAGATGGTCTAGGACAATTGACATTTAAAAGTAAAGAAGTCAGCAAAGAAGACTGACAAGGAACAGTGAGACAGCTAGAAAGAAAACTAGGAGAGTATGATGGATAAGAAAGTGAACAGACTGAAGTATGTCCAGCACAGTAATCCCTGTGTTATTACTTCAAGGTCAAGAAGAAAGATAAGTGACTACTGACCTTGGTAACATGGAAGTTTTCATGACCTTGGCCCATAGTGACAACAGAAGGTAGGAAATAAAGCCAGAAAAGAGTGAGTTCAAATGGGAGTGAAGCTGAGGAAGTGAAGACACTAAGTGCACTGTTCTCTTTGGAAAAATTCTGCTGTGAAGAGAAGCAGAGGAATGAGGGGATAGAGGGATATGAGCTCAACAAGTTTCATTTATTTTCTTTTTCTCTTAAGATTAGAGATACTAAAGGATATGCGTATAATAGCTAGAATGAGTCAGCAGAGATGGAGATACATGTTAGGGGAGAGCACAAACTTTCAGAAGCAAAGTCCTACAGGAGATGGGAAGGAGGGAATCTGATTTCCAAGGCTAGGAGGGCATGGCCTTTGACAGGAGTTGGGGACATAAGTATAGATACAGGCAGGCAGATCTGTAGATTTGTGTGAAGAAGACGAGAGTTCCTGTCAACAGAAGTCACTTTAATTCCTTTCTCAAGTCTGTACCTCTGCCCTCATCACTATGGTCTGGCTTTCTTCTCTGCTCTCTTGACCTCAGGGCTAATACAACTATCTTTGCCAGCAGAGCAAGCATATGGCCACCTGGGAAGGAAGTCAACTGTTCTGTTAAAACCTGACACTAACCCCTGCTTTTCTCTTTCTCTGCCCCTTATAATTTCTGACAGTGGCTTCTGGGAAAAGAAAAGGAGAAACTGACTCATCTTTACTCTTTTCCAGATTAACATGCAATGACACACACAGAATATCCTAAACCAAGCCTTCTCCATGTCTGTTACATTTTGGCTGGACCTGCTACACAACAATCAGATTTAAAATGTGGACAGCACAATGTTCAGGGATTTTCTTGTTTGGGAGTTAATGCATAGTCTTCCTTATTTAGCCAAATAGATAAAAGTGATTTTTCATAAATACATAAATACTTCCCATCCCCCAAAGTAAGGTAGTTCTTATAAAACTCCACAGGATGTAGTAGAACTACATAGTGTAGCTAAGATTTACAGCACTGACTAAAACTTTTGGACTAGTTCACTTCAACTACCACTTTTAGACATTTAGCTTATTGCCCTATTTTTGACTCACTTAGCTGAACATTCAAGGAACCAGTAGTACAAAAGGCTGAACTATCCCTTCTGTACCTTGTTGTGCTGCCTGCTTTCAGAACCAAGTTATACAAGCACAAGCCACAACCACCTAGAGGCTGAAGTCTGTTCACTGGCCACACACAACAGCTGTGCTAGAGCATAGAAGAAAGACATGCTGAGCAATTCACTAATCACAGCTACCAGTCACTAATTTAAATAATAATCTATCTGAACTATTAATTCATGGCTTTGACATTTTTTCCTGAGAAACTGAGCCTTTGCCAAGAAAATACCTGAGCAGATTCTTCTGCTGGTTGTGAAGTAAGTTTTCCTTTCAGTACACAGAGCTGACATGTGAGGTAGTAACATTTTTTTCTCAGCTGTAGGATGATCTCTTGGGCTTCTCTCACTTTGGACTTTTCATTTTCTAGAGCTAAAGCTAGCATTCTGTTGTTGTCTTGGTAGTTCTTTAGCAGTGTAGAAGTGTTGGCTAAAAGAGGATAAAATTTTTTAAAATTTTGTTTTAAATCTAAACTTCAAAAGTGATAAAAACAGAAAACCTGAAACATGAAAATCTCTTACTGATTATCTGGCATGGAGCAGCTATAAAAGACTTTCGTTTGCCAATCTCTGCCAAGTTTTTATTCCTTTTCTCTTTCATTTGTTTCTTTATGTCTTCAAGACTGTCTTGAAAGGACTTTTTAAGGCACCTTTCCTTGGCCATCTTTTGCCTAAAATTTAAAACAATGAAAGAGATTTAGTTTTTTCTAAGAGATTATCAAATATAAAACAAGATTGAAAACACAGGTTGTTCATAAAGAATGGGTTAAGTAGAAACTTTGTAACTGTAGAATTAGCTAACCTGATAACCTAGATTTTGTAGCTTTGAAATCTCATTAACATTTCTGGCATAACATTATCCTCCTTAGGTACCATATAAGGCAGGTTCAGTAAACCTCCAAACTCTGTAATATGGCACTTATTTATTCTTTAACAAATACTCATTGGGGGCTTACTGTATCCTGGACACTATGGGAAATATTATATGTTGATGTTATTATTGTTTATGTTTCCTACATGCTTATGACCAATGTTTAGTGTTTATTAGGCTTACAGCAGTAGTTCACAGGCAATCATATATCTGGGATTTACTTACCATTTTTTTCTCTAAAATTAATATTATTAATTTATTAGATTAGGCCACTCCCTTACTTGTCTCTTCCACACTCTTTTAACTCAATATTACTAGAAAATGCACATCTCTCAAGAAAGTCAATGGGATCTTCAGAAGTTTAGTTAAACTTTGTAGGTCTACATGCAATTTGAATACGCTATTATAACAATTAGAAAGCTACAAAGAGTGGAAGCTGGGTTAGTGGAACATGCCAGTTTTCTCAGGTTATTTCTAAAACTCAGATCTGCTAACTCCAAGTAAATCATGAATACGGCAAGCCAGATGTTAAATAATGACTGTTTCACATACAGTTAAAAGTAGCAAAACATGCATTGACAGTGAGTATGCTATTGAGTATGTCAATACATAAATATACTTAAATCTTTCAATACTGCAGATCAGACACACTTCAGTATTCTGCCACTAAGCATGTCGAACTACTTTTCAAGAACATCTTCTACCCCAGATTGCACTATGCAGACCTTAAAATTGAAGAGAAATTCTTATTTCTTACAACAATCTACATACACAATTCTCACTACCAAGGTCACCTTCATCTTTAATAGTCAAATATCTTCCTGAAACTTACATTTTTCTCGAATATTTTCCCCAGGCCTCAGTTATTTTCCTCTATGCAGATAATGTAGATACAATATATACAGGATATTTCCAGTACAGCAAGCACAACTATTTTTTTAAAAGCACTAATGGTGTAAAACAACATACTATCATGGAGTTTTTCAAGTTTCAACCGCAGATATTTAACAGCCATTAAGTAACTCTTCAAGGTAGTTTAGTTAAGGTATTTTAAAAGCCAAAGCCTCATCTAAAAAGCTTTCATTATTACATGTCATCAATTTAAAGCGGCAAAAGAAATCTGCCGTATAATCCTAAATTTTATTCCCTGTCTGGGCCGACGATGTGAAAGGGGGTGTGGCGGGGTGACAAATGGAAACAGTTCACAGCCCGAGGACGGGGGTTGCCTCAGTCTGCGCGGTACTGGGTGAGGAGCTGGGTGTGAGAGGAGCGGGCCCTTTGATCTCGTCATCCCCGCAGGGCGCAGGCCCTCCTCTCGGGGACGCTGGGTACCTTAAAGGCTCTCGACCGCATCGCGCCGCACAACAGCAGCTGCCAGTTAGCGCGGCCTGACATCGGTCCAGGATTTTCACTACTGTAAACGGTTTATTTTCACATCATTTAATCCACACAGTTGCGTAAGGTAGGAGGTTCGGGGCCCCACTTAGGTAGCGGGGGAGGAAGCTGGGGCATCAGAGAGTGCCAAGCCGGGGAGCTGCGCAGAGGAAGGCGCGCGCTCAGTCCGATCCCAAGCCCTGAGCTTCCGGCCCTCGGAAGTCACGACGGCAGAGACACCCCCGAGGGGAGAGCGGCAGGGGTCACGGCGCCCCTGTTCCGCATCCGCAGGGCCCCGCAGAGAGCCGGGCGGGAGGATGGCGGCCGGGCCCGAAGACCCGCCGCCCACGGCACGTGCACACGGTACCTTGGGCCCCACCTCTGCCGCAGCGGTCGCCCTGCTCCTTACATCCCAAGGCTCCGCGAGGGTTCCGCCGTGCGCCCCACGCTCGGGTCCCCCAAGCCTGGGGCACGGTCTCTGCTCGCCCGCCAACAACAGCAGCCACATTCGAAATTCTCCGCCGCGCTTGCCCATTGGCTGGCTGAGGGGCAGTCACGTGTCACGTCAGCGCGGCCGCGACGCTAGCCGAGTCCCGCCCCGCCGGGCGGCCTCCTGTGACGCGCTCGCCCCACAAATCCACATCCGGGCATCCACCGTCCGTCTCCCGCCTCTCCGGGGGCGGAGTCAGTCATCCGGCCGCGCTGACCCGCCGGCCTTCTCCAGTTTGGAGTCGTTGGCGTTTAGGGGTGGAGTCCTAGACCTCTGGCGGAGCGTATTTTTGGGTCTTCAAAAGCTTCCGGCTTTTTCAGTCTTGTGGCTTCCAATTTTCTAAGGTGTGCTCACGGGCTCCCTCTGGTGAGGAGAATCTCCGTGGTTCGTTGCCCGCCCAGACCGACCCTTCTGCAGCACGAAGGCAGCTTTCCGGGATACTAAGATAGGGAGCAAGTTTTGGATTAACGGGATATTATCAGGGAAGTTACAGATATCTGAAATGTTCTTTCCCTTTGCTCAATTACCTGGCTTTAGCAGCAGGAAATGGCCTCAGCGTCCACCCAGACACCCCTCCAGAACTCTGTGGAATCCTTACTGAGCCTTTATTCTCCCTTACCGTTTCCGTGTGCCGTCAGGCCATTTAGTCCCATTAAATTCTCCTAAGTGTTTCTCACGTCCAAACACCACTATGTGCCACCCTCTAATCCAGCCATCTGCTTAATCCTTTCTATAAACTCTACCAGTACCTATTCTGACGGCAGCCTCTCCACTTAGGTTCTTCATAGAGTGATAAAAGCAAATAGGATTGAATATGAAACTCTTCAGTGGCTGCTTCTGCACTGAAGATGAAGTTCGCATTCTCTAAGGTATTTTTGGTCCTTAAAGAACACATGGCTCCTGTTTCTATCCCTAAGGAATGTTCTTTAATTTCCTTGTATGTCCTCTTGCTGCTTTTGCCCATGCCGTTCTGTTTGTCAAGATCAGTCTCTCCTTCCCCTGAGCCCACTTACTCTTCATGATGCAGCTCTTAAGAAGTGAATACTTCCAAAAAGCCTTATCTGTCCTCAGAGCCCCCTCAGTAGGCTGCTTTGTACTTCCTGGGTGCCATGCACTTTCCCCTTGATAGTCCTGGTGGCACTGACTTGTTGTCATTCATTGCCAGATTATTCAAGTTGCATAAAGGTAGAAGCTATATCTAACTGTTCATAGTTAAAATGTAAGCATCTGTTTAGCAATTTGAATTAAATCAGCAAATATTCTCTGGAATGATAAAATAATGAATAAAAGAAACCTAAACAATTGCTTTGAATTTAGGCATTCAATTCATTGTGAAGGCTTTTTTTTAGGATAACGAACATTTACATTCTCACCCTAGTCCAGCCCTCACCTCAGGCCTCCCTGAGGTGCAAGAGATTAAAACATCCTTCTCCAGCCAATAACAACTTGTTTTCCAGGTTTATCCACCAGATCACCTCCATTAGCCCTCAGTTTACTACCACTGGGTAGTGTGACTCGTCTGTGCAGAAGCATCTAGAAGAAAGGAACAGGTTTTTTACTATTATTGCTTGAGGCCAGAGGGTGTGAAGTGGAAAGGGAGAGCAGTGCTAGCTTCATGGATATGTGACCTGTACTGTGAAAGGCTCTGCACATGGTTTAATGCTCTGTTTTTGCCATCTTGGTATGTTCAATAATTTGTCTTTGAACTTTTGATTTGTAAGTGAAATCTGATGAGAATGGAGCATGCATATAATCAGATGAGATACATGCAATAAGTGTGTCCATTCATGTCTCTTGTTGCTCCATTTCCATAATGTTCAGGATGCTCACTAATGGCTTCTGTGACACACTATGTACTCAGAGCCGCATGCTCAGAAGGGCTTCACACTTGGTTTAATGCTATGCTGACATCTTGAAATTTTTAACAATTTTATCTTTGAGATTGTGTACTCATTTAGAATCTCACTGACCTTTCATGCTTCTTAGTCTAGACTTTAAAAAATCCAAGATTCTTTTTTACCAGACTATTTTAAGAAACTAAAGCTGACTTTATGGAGCCAGTAAAGCCCCTTGGATATCAGCAAAACTTTAACTGAAAAACCACATTTAAATATATGCATGAAATCATTATTCTTGCTGTGCTTATGTAAATAACCAGACCAAATTAAATGAGAACAATTTTACAAACAAATTAGTGTTATACGATTATTTTTGGTAAAACAGGATGGCTATAGAGAGAGAGATTGTATTTCAGTAGAAAAGTGTAGAGCACCCATGATCAGATTCTAGTTCTGCTCATTGTCTTTGAGGTTTTGTTATCTACTGCAAACTGGACTGGATGCTGAATTCTTCTAGATTCTCTAATATCTATCTGGCCACAACTTTCCAAACTCACATTTCTAACTTTCTCCCAACCTTTTAACTTGTAATCACTAAATCTAAAACTATCATTTTCCCTACATCCTAATTAGCTAAAGATCTAAAAAATTTTCCATGATTCACTTTCAACAATGTGCCTTATATATTAAAAACTAGACACTTAGTTTATTGAAAAATACACCAATGAAGTATTGCACTTGAATCTTATTAGAAGACACCTTATCTATTGCAAAAATCTCAACAATTGCAACAAAATTCTATAAACACTTTAGCCAGAATTGCATTAGACCATGATGTAGCTTTAGACTATTTATTACTAGCTGAACAAGAAAGAATAAGCATGATTATTAATACATCATGCTGTGCCTATGTAAATAACTCAGGAAAAAAATTGAAACCCAATAATATTATCCCCCTAAATGCAGAGTAGTTTGGAAAAGCAAAATCTCAATCTGATTATAACCCGTTTGATCTTTTTAGTTGGTTAAGTTTGGGGGAATGGGCACCTTGGCTTGGGGGTATTTTTTAGACAGTTGGTCATATTAGTCATATTGTTAATATCCCCTATGTGTTGTAGTCTCTCAAGAGTCTTAAATGCTTGTCAGCAACCACTGATGCATCAGATAATCTCTATCAGAAGTGAACAGCAAAAACTTGTGAACTTGAATTGTTCTAAGAATCTGCTGAAATACTGGTTTGCGATCCTCCAAGGATCATGAAAAGAGAGACAATGTGGTGACCAAGAGTAATGTTAATAATTGGTCACACTTTCAGTTCAATGGACAGAATAACCAATAGGGGGGATTGTTAAAGAAAAACCAGAATGGCCACAGTTTGAATATACCCTTAGACCAAACACTCACAACTATTTAACCAAAATGGTCCTGATTTTCCTGAAATGCTCACTCTGACTGTAAATAAAACTTAAACTTTCTTCATGTTAGTGTGATTTTACAGCTTCCTAGCTAATCCGCTGCAAATAAATAAGTTAAACAGTTCTACTACTCTAAAAAAAAAATCTATGTTTCCAATGACAATAAAAAAGAAGCAATACCAGCATTTGAAAAAAGATGGTGGTGTGAGAGGTGAGACAGAGACCTTCTCCAAAAACCACATGTAATACGAAAATATAGTTAATGCAACTAATCCTAAAAGAGCAATAGGAAAGAAGGCTGCGCCAGATTGCATACACCTGGAGAAAAGAGCAGACCTCACAAACAGGGTAATGTACCAAAGCCGTGAACAGACAGGACCCAAACCCTTACCCCACCCCAGCTCACCAGCGGAAGGAAGAGAAATGAAGCAGGGAGGGGGTGGAAGCCTAGGATTACAGCCCTGGAGATCTGCTCTGGGAGCATGAACATACATTGCATGGTGCTCTGGAGTTTTGTGGGGTTGAAAAGCTAAGACAGGTGGAATATGTGGAGAGACTGAGATTCCAGCCACTTGTGGAAAACAGGGATCCACATCCCGCTGCTCTGGGACAAAAGAAAGGCTGCAAGTCTGAGAGACTTCCTAACAGCGAGAGGGCTGCTAAAGGGGCAAGGATTACACACAGCTTGCTGCTCAAGACAAAGTACATGTAGACAAATTGTCCAAGCGCACTCTGCCCAGCAGGTTGGGAACTTTCAGAAGCTTCAGGTACTCCACCCCTCTAGCTGGCTATGGAGCTCCAAGGCCTCCCTCTGTGATACACAGACTGCTGCTCCTTCCTCCTGGACAGTCTGCACCTGGCTCGCAAACTGCCAAAACCTGCCTTGGCATCAGGCCAGCCAGAGGAAAGCCCCGCCTACAGCAGTTACAAACACAAGCATGAATTTGATGGCTACTTGAATAATAGTGAAACACAGCCCTTCTCCCTGCAGAATCCCTCTGAGGGGACAGTTTGTGGCACTTTGATGTGACTCCCAGAACTACACATTATGCTCATCATGCCGTATCATGACACCCCAAGTGTATACAACATTTGTGCCACCTTAGCTGAGGAAGGAAGGTAAGCTCCACTCCACTGCTTCTCCACCCTCTTCCTAATACTTCATATTCATTTAATTTCACTTTTTCCCCCCTTGAACTATTTGCCATAATAAATTTTTTTGTTATTTTTAAATTTGTGAACTCAGTAGTTTTTCCTGTGCTGGGTCCCTTCCCTTTCTAGAACACTTGCCCTTCCTTTACTCAGTTTGGAAACTGTAAGGCTAAAGTAAGGACGTGGACCTGGAGGAAAGGTGCCAAAGGTGCTACTCAAATTGCTTTTAGGCGAACCAGAGTGCTCACTGTTTGCTAATCATCAAAAATGTGTGATCATGGCCCTGTCATCCTCGTTTCCTACCTTTGTGGGAAAGCCAGCAATCTGGATTTCAACGAGCCCTCCAAGTAATGATGATGCAGATAGTCCATGTTCCAGATTGAGCCAGGTACTGACCTAGGCCCTAAGTGACAGCTCACCAAAGTCCCCACATACGTCAAAAGATTTAAAATTTTGTATGGGATTCTGGGTCAAAACTCTGGGTAGTAATAAGCAGTATTTTCCCTGCATGTATTTCTCAAGAGCTAGAAGGTAGCTTCTGGAAAATTTGAGAATTTCAGATTCATGGATGCATGTCTTTCTTGCCCTAAAAGGATTCATTTTAGAGACTGAGAAACT